AGAGAGAGAGAGAGAGAGAGAGAGAGAGAGAGAGAGAGAGAGAGAGAGAGAGAGAGAGAGAGAAAGAGAGAGAGAGTTAGAGAGAGAGAGAGAAAGAGAAAGAGAGAGGACAGAGAGAGACTCGAAAGAGACTCGAGAGACTCGAGACAGAGAGAGAGGCATCGAGAACTCGAGCGCGTCGGTGTGTAGGTAGGGTATTTCTGACCCCCTCGTCAGCCAAGAAGTGGCAGAACAAAAGATGTGGATCTGCACGTGACCCAAAAGAAGCTGACAATCCTTTTTTGTATTATCGGGGGTGAAATTATGTAGTGTGCCTAATACAAAATTAAGTATCGAGCGATTGCCTTCGCCTTGCATCCCCCCATAGGCCCATAGGACGGCGCAGACGCTGACGCAGACGCAGACGCAGCGTCGTGTGCGGCCTCGCCGCTGGCTGCTCCAGGTCTGGTGGCCAGGGACGGCTTGCTGGGGCCAATTGCGGCCTTGGTAATTGGAGGAATTGGGTGGCGGATTTGGCTGGCTGCTGGTAGTCTTGGCGCGGATGGCGATGGTGATGGTGGGGCCAACTCACGGACCAACTCATGTCCAACACCTGGCTCGTTCTCTCTCACATTATTTTTTCCTTTCTCTTCACCATCGGAACACGCCCGCTCTGATCCAAAAGCCTCGGCCTCCAAAATCTCAAGGCACTCCACCTCTTTTGCCCCATGACCTATCCTCATTTGGCTTTGTGCATCCAGATTACAACGCAAAGCACGCCCCGGCACTCCCATAGCACACCCGGTCGAGTCAAAGTTCTTGATCGACCACCACAAAGAGATGGATGTCAGGTGTCTTGTCAATTAAGGAGTCGATGGGTGGCAAAGCGGAAGGGCGCGCCAACGTGGGATACGGCAAGGCGCTAGTCCAGGGCCACAATTGCCTGGCAATTGTCAACTTATTCCAGCTTGGCCAGAATGTCCTCATCGCGGTACAGCGTGTACTCCTGTGACCAAGACCAACGTGAGAGACCATGCCCAACGCATTCTAACCGGCCAGCATTGGCCAGGTAGCAGGGAGGGGGGCATGCCTGACGCATATAGCTGCATAACACCAACCTTGTCATCCATCTTGATGGTGGTGCCACCAAAGTCAGGCAGGAGGACACGATCGCCAGTCTTGACCAGGGGCTCCAAGAAAGCACCCGACTATCGTTGTTCATAACAATCATCAATCAAGAAACGCGGAATATTGGCTGGTTGCTGGCCGAGCACAAAACAAGGCAAGAGAACAAAAAAAAAACAAAAAAAAAAAGCAAGAAAGGTATCATACAACAGGCGGCCCCAGAGCTGAGACTGATGGAGGCCGTGACAGCTGGGCCAGTGAGCCCCAAGAATGGAGGATGAACCACTGACACCAGTGACATGGTCTTCACATGTTTTGTCTCTGACTGAGGCCGGGTCTTAGAGAATTGATGGGCCGAGCAAGCTGGCATCACAAGAATACAACTGCAATAACATAACAACAACGAAAAGGGCTTACCTCGGTGCGAGAACCCTGGCCGACGGCAATCACGACACCCTCGTTCACGGCAGGCTTGACTGCATCGGGCAGCAGAATACCACCCTTGGTCTTCTGTCAAAGTCGAATCAGGATGCGGATTCACGTGCGTCCGTGGCAGCCAATCACGTTTGAGGCACGGTGACAGCCCAACGCCAATGGTATTGGAGCGAAGATACAGACCAGCATGTCAATGTGAGTCGTTGTCTCTCAATGATACACAGATGGAAAGGCAGAATGACAGCGGCAAGAAGCCCTCGGCCCTAAACACCACGTACCGCCTCGGGCAGGATGCGCTCCACGACCACGCGGTTGAAGAGGGGCATTAACCTCCGGGCAGCCTAAAGCGGTGACGGTCCAGAATGTTCAATGAGGTGGCAGGGCATGGCGTATGGGCCGTGC